CCCCCTCCCCTCTGTGGTCGCGCGCCGTGCACCCGCCCGCCGCGCCATGTTGTTGGCATCGCAGAGATGTATATAAACGGCGCCGCTTTACCGGTTACTTTCATTATTCAACCCTAATAATCCATGCTGTTGCGTTTTTATTTAAAATGTGAAAAGATGATGACGAGAGATGGAGCAGCAGCAGAGAGCGAGCGAGCGGCAGTATGGCCGTATGGGCTGGTGGTGTGCTGGTGGTTCTCTTGCAATGTAGCTTCATTTCGCGCGCGAAATTACAATAATTAGGGGGTGCGACGTGACATGAAATGGAAATAGATGAAGAGGGCTCCGCCAGGCCCCGCGGCGCTGCGCTGCGAGCGCCCCCGCGGAGGGGGATTACGCCTTGGCCGTCACGTTACGTCATCGCGGCCGCCGGGAGTGCCACTCCGTCTCTGTCGAACCCCCCCCGGCGCGGCGGCCCCTCCGCCCCGCTGCGGCCGGGAGGGTTTGTTGTTGTCGCTCTAACCCCCCGCTACATATACATACTCTGTATAAAACTGCCCTGTGCGACCGTGCGTCGGTGACTTGGGAGCAGGGACCGTCCGGAAGAAAGTACAAACGAGCCGCTGCCAGGAGTCAGGAGGCCTCTGAATGCAGTCGTAGCGCCTGGTAGGTAGGCAACATCTCGCCTGCAGTGCATGCGTGTACTGCGCGGCGGCCTACCCCGAGTCTCGCAGGCGCCGTCCTCCCAAAATGACTGCGAGGAAACAAAAACGGACGTGTAGCACTTTCTGCGGACGATTCCCCTGTATTCCTGCTGGACCAACCGTCGGATGTACAGCCCAGGAGTGAGCAGCGCCGCCCCCAGCGCCGCCCCCGAGGAGGGGCCGCGGCGGCGGCGAGCTGCCCCCTCGGGGGCGTGCGCCCGCAATCAAACTGTTTGATCCCGCCCACGACCGCAGCATCCCGAGGCCGCGGGGGCCGCGCTGGACCAGCGGGGACCACAGGGGACCAGAGAGGTCAGCTGGACGGGCCGTGCTCCCTCACGGCCGGAAGTTATACGGGGGTCAGACAATGTCGCGCGCGCAGAACTTGACGGTCTGTGGTCAGCGTCGCGCGGCTGGCGCGGCTGGGGGGCGGCGGGGGCAGCGTTCGGGACGAGCTCGGGACGCGATGTATCAAGCGAGGCGCGCGGGCTGCGGGTCGTACTGGACAGGAGATCCATCTCCTCCTGCGACGTCGCCGCGTTGCGGCTCTCAGGTGCACGACGGGGAGGTTCCCGACGACTTCCTTATTTGATCGTGTGGGGCCCTTTCCTCACTACGTGACCTCTATGGATCGGAGTCCCAAAATTATCAGGATCACCTTTGGAGTCCACACGGCCCCAATGATAATTGTACCTTGGGATACAAATATAATGTTGCCTATGTGGACTATAAGGGTAATCCTGTTAGGATTTTGCGTCATATTTGTGTGTTATATTTTAACGGCCCACAGTATGGGAACGACCCCAAATATGGCACTAATCACAAAAACATTTCACCTCTTTTTCACGCCTGGATCGTTGTTTGTGACGGGCTGGGCGAGTTTGCGCAAATAGATCCCCAAGAAAGATATCGCGCGCGGCGTGCTTCGATCAGAACGTGGGAAACGTTGTGGAAGAATGCCTGCCTCGAGAGCTCGAGAGAGAGGAAAAGACAGCGAGGGAGAGAGGACGCGACAAATCGCAAACTTTTACTTAGCTTGAAACACCGAGGCCTCCGCATGGGGGGTGCCGATGGTGCCCCAAGAATTGCAGCCGTGTGAGCCAGAGAGAGAGGGAGAGAGAGAGAGAGAGAGAGAGAGAGAGAGAGAGAGAGAGAGAGAGAGAGAGACGTGGGGAAGGGGGTCATTGGGAGGTCCAGCAACAAGGGCAGCAGAAGCAGTTGGGGAGGCGGAAAAAAATGTTCTTTCTTGTGTGTTCTGATCAGAAAGTTGGGAGGCCTGATTAGAGTCGGGTTACGCGGGCACACATATGTCATGAAGAGTGTGCGTCGTTCCCTAACTTTGGCGCCGGTGGTTGGCAGGGAAAAAATAGTCTCCAGCGAAGTTTGGTGTGCGTCAGTCTACGGGTCGATGTGTGTGAGCCAATATATAGCGAAGGTTCAACGGTTCAATTTATAAATCAACCAGTAAGAACTGAAATTCCCTGGAAAGGCCTCTCTGATAACGACTCTCTGTTGCGTTCTAAGCAATAAGCACGTGTGAATGTGAACATGAACGAACATAGCCTCAAATCGGATGTTCTTCCATAAACTGTACCCCGACTTTCTCGGATTTTATTATATTTTAAGGACAATTTTCTCGCAGAACTGAGCGGGCAATTTCCTATGCGTTTTCTTGTACACTATAGAGAACGCGTTTGGCCCCCCGACGCCTCTGTACTTTGCCAACTCCATCCGCCCTACTGTGCCCGGCACAAAGGGCGGACTTTAATAGTCCTGACAAGTCTCATGCAAGCAACACATTCCCGACGGTAATGGTGTTGGTTTCAGTTTCAGCCCTGTTTCAGTTTTCAGGCGCGCTGGAAGTAACCCAGCAGCAGCTCAATTACTTTGAAATTGGCCCAATTCTGACAAGCGGTAACTACAGCTTAACACGTTTTCTCACCAGCCGCCGTTTGCATATTTTATTTTTGACATGGCCTTAGGAACGTTTTACTTCCCTTAGTTTATACTGTTTCAATTACTCCTCCTTTTTTTTTGTTTTTGGTATATATGCATATATGCTTTTCAAAAAAAAAGAGCGGTAGAGGGGTTGGAATCAGTGGGCAAAAGGAGCGAATAGCGGACCTGATGCGCAAGAGAAAGGGGGATGAAAGAGAGAGAGAGAGAGAGAGAGAGAGAGAGAGAGAGAGAGAGAGAGAGAGAGAGA